AAATTTACAAGAGACTGGCTTCTACAAGGAAAGATCGCTACTGTGATGGACAACAGAATGGTGTGGAAGAAGTGGCACAGCACATGAACAGGGATCCAAGAAGGAGCAAACTGAGATTACAATCTCAACAGTCTAGACAACTCTCCCYATTTCTTGTTBTACAAGTACTATCTGGCAGAGACAATGTAGACTCTGAGAGGAAATGAGGTAGGGCAAGCTGACAGTCAATCCTCCTGATAGGGAGCAATCAATGCTGGTCAGGGTTCCTTCGGCCAGACGGAAGGAAGCGTGTGGGTGTTCACCATGTTTTTATTCTCGACTTGCCGGTGGAAAGGAACCGGACTGACGCTCCCCAGAATGGATATGGAGCCAGGACCATAAGGACCTGATTTAAGTTAAAAAAAAAAAAAAGAATATAACGCATGTGTTGAATTCGAAAATATGGGCTGTTCGAATAGAACACTTATGTGTGGTATTCGAATAGAACACAACCTATGCATTGTATTCGTTTAGAACACATATGCGTTATGTTCGGGGAAGACGGTAGTGCAGAATGTGTAGGGAATTACCTTGGGTGGTATTAACGACCAACACACGCACACATATAGAAAAAAGGAAAAAAAAAAAAGGGAACATTGTGCACTGCGGTAACCGGTCAAAATCTCAATTGTCAGTGAAGCAACATCTTCCTTGGTTCAAACTCTTCATGATTAATTAATTTATTCATTTGTGGAGCTCACTTTGTACCATATGTGAGCCACAATGGTGACAATGCGCCTCCAACCCTAACAATCAAACAACCTTATTCTCACTCGTTTCATAATTCCATGATGGTTTCAAGTTGTCGTCGTGCTGGGTGTGTAGTTCAGTTTTCTCAAGTGCCCACTAGTGATTAGCCTAGTGTCTTCTGCTGAAGGGGGAAAAAAAAAAATAAAAAAAAATCTGAGTTTGGACTTTGTTTTTCCCTAAACCCTAAACCGTAAACTCTAAACCAGATCTAAACCCTAAAACCTAAAACCTAAACCCTAAACCAGATCTAAACCCTAAACCCTCAACCCTAAACCAGATCTAAACCCTAAACCCTCGACCCTAAACCAGATCTAAACCCTAAACCCTAAACCAGATTGGATATCAGGCCGACACCACCACCCTCTCCTTAAACCTAGATGGTGAGACTGATGTCCTTTGTGTAAGATAAACGACAGGTTCCAGGTTGTCCTGCATGGGGATTGCAACGTGACGCCAGGCCGTCTATGCAGCAGCCGTCTTAGTCAACGAAGTCGAGGTCTAAACTGCTCTTTATTTGCCTCCCCCATTCTAATGGACTTTGTGTGTGCCCGGATGCATGTGTGTCTATGCTTTTGTTGTTGTGGTTTGGTGATTGTTCCATTGGGGTTTTGTTTTTGCAGCTTCCTCGTCTGTACAATATCTATAAAGACATGGGAATCATAAAGAATTTCCAAACAATTCTTGACAACGTCTTCATCCCGCTTTTCGAAGTTTCCGTCGATCCCAACTCGCACCCGCAACTCCATGTTTTCTTGAAGATGGTAAGTCTGCGTGTTCTTTTTCCTTTATGTCGTCCAGTCTTCGAACGACGCATTCATATGGTTGCTTGATATCCTTGGATGTGTGATTCAGTCTCGTACTCTCTCTACCCCCTTCTCTGCAGCTTTTTGTGGATCCAGCACAACTTCTTCAAGTATTCCCCAGGAAGGTCCAGGGATTTCGTCTGGTCGACTGTGTTGCACTTGTGCGCTACATGCAGTTTTACTGTGATGCTCGATGCGGAACAACCCTTGTGGGTCCTCAACCTCTTTTCTCTCTCCGACCGTCCTTCCCTCCCTTTTAGAGCTCGCTTCCACTTTTATTTTGATTGCCCTATCTTGCCCTCTCCAAACCTCCACCACCTCTGCTACTTACTGACATTTTCTTAAACATAAAGCTCTGTCCACACATTATTTGTTGAAGCAACAATAACTCAGTCGTGGGAAGGCACTCCTGCACCTTTGCTGGTATGGTTGTCCTCATCCTTTATCTAGTGTCGCTCTTACCCCGTGGTCTACAGACTCTACTGGACCTGGTAAACTGCCAGTACACATACAACAGGCAACATCCTTTCAAGGTGTTTGCAGCATGCTTGTTCTTGAAGTGATGGTGTATAACTTACTGAGTATTCAGTATAACTCACGTCTTCGTGTACATACATGTGTAGATGAAATAACTCCCATCTGTTCAGTAGTCCAAATATTTCCGGCAGCTGGTTGGTGGGAACGAGAAGTATGGGATATGTTTGGTGTGTATTTTTCCAACCATCCTGATTTACGTCGTTTATTAACAGATTATGGTTTTGAGGGTCATCCGTTACGAAACGACTTTCCTTTTGTCATTATCCCTGCAACTGGACTGGAAGTTGCCCCAAATACGACTATAATGACCGGGCGGCGGGCGTTCAATTTTGGGTGAAAATAGTAGTAGTTCTATATAGACCTTGGTAGAAGCCGTTGGCAATTCTCAACATCTCATTTCTGTCATAGACTCATAGCTATTTTTGCTGGGGTGCCTAATTGGATGAGGCACTCGGTTGTGCTGGCCCTATTATTTGCTTAAACTCTGTCTGATAAGTATTTGGTAATGGGGACTCGTTTAGAGTGTAATCTGCTATTCCTGCCGTGATCTGCAGACCCTGATCTGCAGACCCTGATCTGCAGACCAGGGTCTATGCTCTGGCGATGAATCAGGTGTTCCTGATGCTGCTTTGTTTCCCTCTTCTTTCCGATCTATTCGGCTGAAGTTTTTTGCTAGGAACTTCCTGCTAATCAACAGAATGTGCTCTTTTTCTTTCTGCAATGCAACTCTGCATCCAGATATCGGAACAACGACCCTTTCTGTCCTTCCATATTCTCTGTTGTAAGAGTCGGGAATCGACCGTTGTGTCAGGCCCTGTTCTGTTCTTCATCGACAGCTCCCTGTGGTCGTAGTCTATGTCATCGGCAACTCTGCATCCAGATATCGGAACAACGACCCTTTCTGTCCTTCCATATTCTGTCTGTTGTAAGAGTCGGGAATCGACCGTTGTGTCAGGCCCTGTTCTGTTCTTCATCGACAGCTCCCTGTGGTCGTAGTCTATGTCATCGGCTTTTGAAACACGTTGTCCTCGTCGTTCTCTCATGGTTGTATTGGCAGTTGCGTCGTGAATGACAATGGGGGTGTTCACTGTCATGGTTGTATTGCGAGGCATGTCACGCCATGCATGAGAGGAATGTCGTGTCCACATGTTGTGAGGCACCATCATGCCGACCAGAGGCCTGCCATATCAGCTTCTGCTCAAGCTGTGCATGCTTCTTCCCATCATGTAGGTAGGCTTTAGCAGGTGATGATCAGATTGACGGTTGGCTGTGTGCTCGCTCTCGGCTAAGATTGGTCGTGTCACTTTGTGTTTACTACCTCTCCCCCCGTCATGCTTTTGGGCGTGGAAGGGGAGGAGAGGACAGAAAGGACAAGCGATGAGCGTCTGTATTCCACTATTTTTTTTTTTTTTTACCAACCAACACAGCCCCTTCTATTCTGGGGGGCATCAGTCCGGCTGCTTATCACCGGCAAGGAAATGTTTCTGAAAGAGCACAGCCCCTTCTATTCTGGGGGGCATCAGTCCGGTTGCTTATCACCTGCAAGGAAATGTTTCTGAAAGAGCAGTGGGGGAGATTAGACAGAGAAAAGCGTCAGCCTATCCTTGTGGCTCCAGCCGCCTAAGCAAGGGGGGGGCCCTGGTTCGGGTCAACCCACTCCCAATCTCCAACCTTTCCTCAGGGATTAATCTGCAAGTCGGGAAGCTTACTGGCAGCACCCAGGCACGCTGCCGGGTAATCCCCAGGAGGGGGGGGTATGGGGGGTTGGGGGGGAGGGGGAGGTCCTGGTACTCCTCAGGCCGCATATCCCTTGTTCAACATACGTAGTCATTAGAGGAGGTGAAATCTTGGCCCCTGGAAGAAAAAACCCTGGAAACAACCTGGCAAGAACCCCACACTCAAGCCTCCACCGGGGTACTTCCCTGTGTGCTATGTGCTGCAAGCAAAGTTGTGCCAGATGGACTCCGTTGCTTTTGTAAAACCCCCCTCTGTAGGATGGGAGCCCTATCCTGTAGCTATCCATTTTCACTCTTACAGTGTGTCTGCCCACGGCACTAGATGCTGTGTGCAATTTCGTAAATTTATGTCAATACAATGAATACATACGATTCCATGTGTATATGCTATATATATCATCAGTAAATGACTAAAGCTATGCACGGTTTTGCTGTTGTTGCACTGTTTTTTTTTTTTTTTTTTTGGTGTGTTGTTGTGTCGTTTTGTTGTGGTTTAGGTTGTGGGATTCGACATGGTGGATGATGAGAGCAAGCCGGAGAGAAGACCCACAAAGCATATGCAGCCACCTATAATGTGGGAGAATCCGTTCAACCCGGCGTACTCGTATTATGCGTACTACTGCTGGGCCAATATGTATGTTTTGAACAGAGTACGTGTCTCGAACCGCATCGACTTTTCCGTCCTCTCGGAGGTTTGGGCCATATCTTTGAAATTTGAATCGATAAGTGAATACATGTCATGCAGGTGGAATAATTCAATAATGCACCCTGTTATGTGCTGCAATGCGTATGTGTTCGTTTTAAAGCAGCACTACCATTCCTGTATATCGACCCCGGGCGGCCTCGTAATGGGCCTCGCAATTCAAATTTCGGAGGCCGGGTGCCGCCGAGGATGAAATTTATCAACGGCGGCCCGGCTGCAAAAAAACGCGGTGTAGGTTAGTTGTACGACTTGGCCTCCCAGCCGGAAAGGTAGTGGTGGTCTAAACGCCTTTTCTCATCTTGCGCTTGCCATCCTGTGCAGATTCTCTGCGCTAAGTACTCTACTAAGATGTCGAGGGAAACCATCTGTTGTTCAGAATGATATGGTCATGTGGTGGCATCACCCTGTTCGCTTATACCATTTTGCCTTTTCCTGTCTTTGTACCCAAATGGAGTGGTAGACATGTGCGGCCAGGGAATGGAATGATGACGATAATTGGTATAGCATAATTATAGGATGTAATTATGAGTGTAGAATAAATGCAGTAATATCATCTTTGATTATTTGTTATCGTGGCCGACTGAAAGTGAGCAATTTCTCTCAGTAATCGACTTTTCATGTCGATAGGAATATTCTACTGAATGTGGACTGTGTGGCCTGATGCATTGCCGTCTTCCTCTGAACAGAACAATACACACTGATCATGAATGTATACAAGCTTATTTCCTGGCCCCATACAGTTGTGATGAGGGTGTCTTGTATTTTGGGAAAGATTGTAGTGGTCTGCAATCCCCCATGCGTGCTGGGGTAAAAAGAGCTTAGCTTCCCCTATATCCTCTCCTCTACAATTCTGATGAGGGTGTGTTGTTCTTTGGAGGAATATGGCGGCGGTCTGCAATCCCCCATGTGTGCTGGGGCAATAAGCTTGGCCTCCCCTATTCTAAGCTCGTAAGTGTTGTTTCCGTATCCCCAAACGTTCGAGAACCGAATTGGGGAAGAAATATTTTTAAAATTTTTGGCTTTTCTCAGTTTTCTGAGTTTTCTCTGATATGAATTGGGCAAGAAATATTTTTGGCTGTTTCTCTGCTAAGGGTGATCCTACCTTCTGTCTGTGTGTTTTTGGCTTTTCTTTTTGGCTTTTCTCTGAGATGGTTGTTCCTACCTCCTGTATGTTTCGCCAATGCTTGTTTTTGAGTGTTGTTTCGGTAACTCTCCCCAAACAGTCGAGAACCGAATTGGGGAAGAAATATTTTTTGGGCTTTTCTGAGTTTCTCTGATATGAATTGGGCAAGAAAGATTTTTTTTGGCTTTTCTCTGAGATAGAAAATGGTTGTTTCTACCTCCTGTATGTTTGGGCAATGCTTGTTTTTGCAGCTTAGGGAATCGAAGGGATACTCGGTTATCCGGTTCCGGCCACATGCCGGGGAGGTAAGCCCATCCTATCGTATTTTTTTGTTCTGCAGCTTCTGCTAGCTTTGTTTCACCCTTAGCTGAAGGGTGACAGTTGCAGTCATGTACTTGATCTTGTTTTTGTTTTTCCGATGGCAGCTGAGCCCTTATTGCATCTATTCGATTCTGTTGAGAATCTCTCGAGATTAATACCCTGATGTTTCTAAGTTTTTACTGACATTTAGATGTCTGCACCACTGAGTCACATCGGCTGGGTGTCATGTGCCTGATCTACTTCCTGGTGGCTTGCAAAACAGGTGGTCGACTCGTTAGCCGTCCTCAGATAACTAACAAAATCTCATAGACCGTTCATGGATGTGAGAAATGAACATGTGTGTGCTACCGTTGCGCTTGTGCAACATCCATAAGAATGTATTCCTGAGGAAGAAGAATAGGTGTGTGCTTCCTTCCACCCATTGCGTTTGTGCAACGACCATACAAAAGTGTTTGCGACTAGACTCCAAGAATAGCTGTGCAGTGTTCACACGTAAGTAATCTATTGTGTGAGATGCAGGGTGGCTATCCGTTTGTTATGCAGATTTTCCCCTGAAACAGTGCAATGTGTAGAGACTAGAGAGGTGTGGCTGTACCCTTGTGGCAAACAAGTAGAATTGCAAATCCTGATGCAAGCAAGTTGTGAAGCAAAAACAGAAAATGGAGGTTATATAACCATGAAAGGGGATGGGACATGTGAGACTGGACCCTGGTGCCAAGTGATGTTACTGCAGTGTACGCGGTTAGCTTTGTTGACAGCGGTTGCAGTGGCACAGCAGATTAACTAGTCTGTGAAAGATTTCTTTTGCTGCACGTACAAAAAAAAAGGGAAAAAAAAATGAAAAAAGAAAAAAACATTTTCATCAGGTAATGTGTTTGCAGATGATCCTTATTGAGACAGGTGATTTGCACTCATCACTGATTAGGAAATGTGGCTGCACAGCCTGCACATGATTAACCCTGCAGCAGGTGATTTCCGATCAAACTCTCATTCACTCTCATTCGCTCTCATCCACTTGTCCACACTCTTTTTTCTTCTTCTTTTTTTTTTTTTTTCCTTATTTCTTTTTTGTGGGCAAAGCCGCAACAGGTCATCTGGCATTGAGAAAAACTGAGACTGCAATTGATACGGCCCTTCAACCTCTTTTTAGACCCTCTATTTCATCCCCATTTACCTCCCTTTTCTCCCCATTGGCATCGCCTTCGAGCTCAAACACATTGTTTAGAAACACACTCTGATTTGGGCTCTGTTTGGCCTGCAACCATTCTAAACCGGACTGACGCGCCCCAGGGAAAAAAAAAAAAAAAAAAAAAAAAAGAAACAGGTCCTTATGGCCCTGCCTCCATTTCCATTTTGGGGAACGTCAGTGCGGTTCGTATCCCACCGGCATTTCTTATTTGTCCGGATTTCTAGACAGGTCGCCTGGGACCTGTCGTGGACAGACGGCCTGGCTAGATATCCAGGGCGGATGGTCACACTGCCAATGTATGTAACTTTTGTAGTCTATTTGTGAATTGCTCCTCCAGCTTTCTTCGCCGTGTTGTGATGTGAGTGGTGGTGCGCTGAAATTGCTTTTCGTATCAATCACTTCGATGATATTCTTGTGTCGTGTGTGAACACTTGTGCAGTGTATTTATGTGTGAATGTTTTTTTCATAATTTCTCGCGTTGTCACTCATCCCCGTCCTTTAGAGTCCTTTTAGAAAATGAGTTGGTTAAAGTTATATGAGTTGGTTGAAACAAGGTGGTTGTGCACTTTTCGTGGAATGTCAGAGTTGGTACTGAAGAACTCCGCTGATTTTTACCTGTGCTTTTTCTTCAGGCAGGCGATCTGGATCACCTCGCATCTGCATTTCTTTCGTGCCACAACATTGCTCACGGCAATAATCTTCGCAAGTCGCCTGGCCTTCAGTACCTCTTCTATTTGGCCCAGGTGAGAGCAACATGGGGATAGAATGTCCATGTTTTTTCAGTGGTACAAGAAAAGTAGATGCTTTGGCAAGGTTGACTCCCTTCTGATAAGGTAATGCATGAAGCCCCGGTATCTGACATTTCAAACTTGGTAGATGTGTTTGTGTGTGTGTGTGTGTGTGTGTGTGTGTGTGTGTGTGTGTGTGTGTGTGTGTGTGTGAGAGAGAGAGAGAGAGAGAGAGAGAGAGAGANGAGAGAGAGAGAGAGAGAGAGAGAGAGAGAGAGAGAGAGAGAGAGAGAGAGAGAGAGAGAGAGAGAGTCTCAGAGCCTGATCTGTATCACCTTATCACAGAAAAACATGTGTGTGTGTGTGTGTGTGTGTGTGTGTGTGTGTGTGTGTTTGTTTGTTTGTGTGTGTGAGAGAGAGAGAGAGAGAGAGTCTCAGAGCATGATCTGTATGATCTTATCACAGAAATGTATGTCTTACTTTGTGTGTGTGTTTGATGTTACGTGTCCTGTGCAGATCGGTTTGGCGATGTCACCATTGAGCAACAACTCACTGTTCCTGGACTACCACCGCAATCCATTCCCTATGTTCTTCGCAAGAGGAATGAATGTGTCGCTGTCAACAGATGATCCATTGCAGATTCATCTTACCAAGGAGCCTCTTGTTGAAGAATACAGCATTGCAGCACAGGTCAGTTTGAAACCTTCATTCACCGATTGCGAGAACTTTTAAAATGGATGGGCATGTTTATGTGGAACTGCAGTCTTTTCGAAAGACCTCTTTGTAACTGTCTGCAATTCCAATTATTACATACAAATCCCACTTGCTATCTTTCATGGTGTGTTGCGGTTTTCTTGGGGCCGTGCTTTTCAGGGCCAATTGTCTTGGCAACCCTGGGTTTTTGTCTTTATCATCTTACAGTTGAGGACCTGATTTTCATGGAGGAGAGGATGAGGATGAGATTAAATAGGAGAGGGAAGGGGGCAACGACTTTTACTAACGTGGCACCTGGTGTCAGTATCTTAGAATCTGTGTCCTTTTCGCATCAAGGGTTCTTCGCTCCCTGTTCCCTTCTTTGCACGTGGCTTGTTTCACTGCAATTTTTCGTCTATCAGCCCCATATCCTCTCATTCGTATTTTGGAGGGTCCCGTACTGCTTGTGCAGTTCTTTCGCCACTGGTTAATCTGCGACGTACTTTTGAAACTGTAGTACGTATGGTTGAGGATGACTGTTATGCAATCATGGACGTGGGTCTGAATACACTGAACATAATAATTTCTATGCACAACGTATACAGTCTATGCATACATTTACGATGATGCCTACCAATATATGGATACGGCCTATGCATAGATAAAGCTGACAGGCACACATACAATTCAGAAGAATATAATAACATATACATAGCCTACGGTAGTGTATATACTATACAGCCTATGGGCACACATAAAGTTAACGATGGGAGGGGGTATATCGAGCCCTTGCTAGGGGTGTCATAGGTGGGCTTTTGGATAGGGGTGAGTAACTATGGTTGGGCAGGGGTTTAATACCACCTTGGGCCTCGTTCCGTGATCCGCTTAGCTCTGGGCAAGCTGGGCCAGTCAGGGCTTGTCTGTTGAGCCTGCCCAACTCTGGTGCCTGGGTACCGATCGGATACTGCTTGAGCCTGGCGTCCGTCTGAAGTACCCCTGTGACAAGGCTCGCTCGTCTGATAGCTGGAGTACGTTGCCAAATTCTAGTCTGTTTTTCGTTTTCAGAAAGATTTGGGGATGGTCATTCAGGAAATAAAGAGCGGACTTCCACAGTCGCAGAAATTTTGCTTTTGAAGTTTCAAAATTCACCCCCCCCTGCACCCGTTCTTCTTTATCGATAAAGGGATTTGATCTTTTTTTTTTTTTT